AAAAACTTGATAAAAGATTAGTTACCGTTTTTGCAGGCTTTGTTCAACCCATAGAAATCTACAGGGTGGTCGAGTGTACCAAGTTAATCGAAATTAAACGACCTCATGCATTTATTTTTATGATATTTAGTATGTTATAAAAATATCCCTAGACTTTTCCGATGTGTGATCAAACTATTTAACCAAAGTCGTTCTCTTTTATAAAAATTACAAATAACAACCTATAACTCTATCGTAATTATCACTACCTGAGCCATGACTGTTAGGCTTTTTTTTACCAACATTCACTTTATCAGGTCTTGAATTATAAAATATTGTATTGTATTTTTTCAGATTTCCTGCGAAACTGTTATCAAAGCCTATATTTCACGGATACAAGAAGTGAACCCAATAATAAACGCCATTATAGAAGATAGATTCCAAGAAGCTTTGGAAGATGCTAAAAAAGTTGATGCATTATTAGCGGGACCGTCCGTGAACCTAGAAGAACTGAAAGAAAAATGTCCTTTACTAGGTAAGAATTTCAATTGGGAATGGACCGACATTATGCCTTCCAGGTCATACTGGCGCTGAAGGCAATGAGGCTGCTGCCTCCCTTGCAAAGGAGGGGGCTGCAAGCAGCTTCATCGGACCAAAACCTGTCATTGGCATTGCTTTAGGTTTTTGGCAAACAAACATTGAACACCTTGATGGCAAAAATGTTCCAGGACTTCTGGAAAAGCCTTCCAGGATTGGCTCACTCCAGGGCGTTCATACACCCTCCAAAGCTGTTGGACCACAGTAGGGATGGACTACGATGTCTAACAGGCCTTCTCACGTGTCACTGTCATTTGAATCGTTATATGCAGAGACTCGGACTGTCGGAAGACAGTGGGTGTGGCCTCTGTTTGGAGAATGATGAAACAGCAGAGCATATACTTTGTGTCTATCACGCTGCGTACGGAATCAGGTTTTAAGAGTTCAGCAGAGCCGTACTCTTACCATCTGTCCTGAAAGATCACTCACAATATAAACTAATCGGCTTCGTCATGAATCTGGGTTTATTTGGTCGAGTTTGAATAGGTATGAGCCACAATACACCCTTGCGGGTTACAGTGGAGTGTCGAATAGACTTACTCACTTTTGATCTCACTTTTACTAACTTAATTGGACATTTTGTGACTTCGATAATATCAATTCAGTTCTACTCTCGATTTTGGAATGCCAATACAAAATTTCATTGAATCAGATGTTGGAAATATTCACCTTCTGCAAAAATGAGACCTCTGCACCTGAAGCTAATTGATAATGGGTTGAAAAGTGGGAGAAATATCAATTATATACAAGAAAATGAAACATACAATCTGTCCCAGGGTGCCTACATAGTAGGTTCTGGTTCAATATGTAACGGTGGATTGAATCATTCAATTCTACTTCTAGGTGTACCCATCACCATCAAAGGCAGCATCGAAGTTAAGAATATGAAGAGCACCTCAGGGATGGTTAAGAGGGCCGATATAATTGCAAAAGAAGATGCAGTCACTGTAAAATACGCGAGAGAAGCTGGTGCTATCATTCTGTTGACCTCCAATATTCCAGAATTGTGTCTCAACTGGGAATCGACGAACAAATTAATAGGCACTACGAAGAACCCATACAACACTACGAGNAACCTACTGTGTAGGTATATTCGAGACTGGCTTGAACGTTTAAAGTTCATTTCTTTAGATTTATATTTATTTTCACATTCACATTAGTTTGAATTGAGGAGCAAACAACAAGAAAGAAACTAGTAACTTGATTTTCGATTTTTGAGTCCAAAATGACAAGAAGGTGTTATTTCACAAGTTTCATTTATAGAAATAATATGTATCTTCGGAATTAGACTCAGACAGGTTCGTAATCAACAGATAAATCGTACAGTAACCGAGTTCTGCTGGATAAATTATTTGTTGTGGTCTGATAAATCTGACTTTTGTACAATGTTCACTAATACTGATCAAGAGAAAAGTCAACAAGTCCGTTTAAGTATTGAACCTTTGATGGAGAATAGTTCCATCAGGAGTTATTGGTCCATTTTATATGTTGACTGTTTGAGTGGTGTGAGGAATGTAGAGTTTTAACCATTTTTTGGTGAACTTGCCCATAATGGATGAAAACCATCAAATAGCCTACTTGATCTCCTGACCTCATCGCCTTGACTTTGAGAAATATAATGTATATGCAAACACCTCAAAAGAGAAAAATAATAGTTTTCCGAACTATGCTATACAAGATATCCTCAAAAACACTTTCTCGGCTAATACCATGCTGAGCCACAGCCACATTACCTATTCTCAGAAAACTGCTAATAATTATTTCAAAAAAAGTCTGATAAGAAAGTGAAGTGTATAATGTTGTAAAATACGTTCTGTCGTATTATTTTCACCATTTTGAATCAGTTATGTATCCACGTGATTAATTTATGATCTTTATTGATGATACCCAAAAATATGAAAATGTAGCATTCATTACTCAAATGTTTACTTAATATTATTTGGTCGAATTCACATGAAACTGGCAATTATGGAAGGATCTGTACAGTCAACGTTTTTCGTAATAAATGATATTAATATTCTTATTCAACATTGAAAAATATATCAACAAATCTCATTATTTAAGCAGAACAGATTCATANAATTCTTGATTGAACTTCTGCAAAATAGAATGAACGGAGATGATTCAAATTCAATGTATATCTAAGATTTCTGATTTGGTAACATTTTGAGTTCAGTGTCTTAGAAAGCTGTAGACAGTGAGTTCGAAATGATAAGTCTTCGTCCAAAAAAATTCCAAGAAATTTAACACTTTCAGTACTATAAATGCATGTGTTATTAATGTTGATATTTAATGGCAGTACGTTTTTGTTTTGATGAGTATGAAAAGTTACACATTTTGTTTTGTTTGTATTGAAAAGAAGATACATATCAGAAGACCAGACTGAAAAGTTGTGCATTATGGTGTTAATTTTTGTTTTCAGAATTTCAGAGTTTTCTCCTGTAAAAAGTAGCGTTGAGTCATCTGCATACAATGTAGTGAATGCATCAGTTAAGATCAGAGGTAGCTCGTTAATATATAAGTATTGGTCCCAGAATGGAGCCTAGAGGTATCCCAATGTCATTCCTTTGAGGAGATGACCGACCAGACCAGTAACTTGCCTTGTTCTGCGTCGTAAATATCTTTCCATTTCTCCGGTAGCAAATTTTGTGTTGCTTTTTTCGACTTTCTTCAATTTCATCAAGAATTTCGTACTTTTTATTTCAATAGTTCCTTCGTGTATGTTGTTAAAATCATTACCTACTTTTGCAGCACTCATTGTAAATTTTGGTTTTCGTAGTATTTCCATGGACCTTTAAAATTAGAGATGGGTTTATTTTATTGAACACCATTCATTCATGAATAATCAGTGACCGGAACAGTAGTTTACAAATGATCTACCTAATTTCCATAAGATAAATTTGGTACCCATACGGATCAAAATCACAATTTAAGGTTAACAGATGGTATGTAAATTACATGCTATGTTCGTGACGAAGATAGGGAATATGAAAAGTCAAATTTAATTTGAAATACATGAAATGAATATAAAATGAAGTTTACCTTGGGAATTTCAAGCATATTATTACGTTTTTGAGATCGACAAAAGACATGGTACACTTCCTGTATACATATCTACGTGGACTGCTCAAAAAATAAGGTGAATGTTTAAATTTCGCAAGCTACGCACATTTTTCAAGCTTTTGAGAAGCAGCCTTTGTAATTCCAGGGATATAATTGTGTCAAGACATATTAGTGTCCATTTTAACCCCCACCAAACTTATCGAAGCAGAAAGCGGAATTGTCTAACATGATATTATTATATCCGGTTCGGAGACATTTATATTCTTGGAGAAAACTGATGCCTGGGTTTTTGTGGCATTGAATTGAACTTGGTTACTTTCAGATATGCAACCTCCTGCTGCCGGTGAAGATGAAGATGTAGTTTCTTGGGAAAAAATCAATGATGTTGCTCACAAAAAAAGTAGCAGAAGTGAACATATTGAACTGGTTTGAAATGCATCTGTCTCATGTTCATAATTTTATAAATTTTTAAACATTTCGGAGAGAGGAACATAGACATATAAAACTGTGGCCCAATCATTTGCATCCCAGTTTTGATGTTCTTGACACCACTCTAATCTTCTACCGCGATTGCCTCTCGACAAAGGTGGACTGAAAAATACAGATTTCATCAAACTNTTCGGAGACTGCTGAAGAAAGTTCGGAAAAAAGCACTTCTTGATCAGATTAGTCAAGTTCAAACATAGCTTAACAATCTTTCAACAGCTACAGATTGGGGATGAGAAAAAACAGAGACTCTGTTTTTGCCCATGAAAACACCATAATCATTGGCAGGTTTAGAATTACTGAAACTAGTTCATTGTAGTTGCATAGTAGGTATCTAACTGCAGTAAAACTTAAAGCAGTAGAAAAACAGTGATGAGTGCATCCGATGTTGTTGGGATGATGACAATTTCAACTTCGAGTACGGCATGATTGTTGATCAACAAAATACTAACCATCCAGTATATCGAAAACTGATTCAGGCATTCTACGTATCAAACTCAGATACTAACTCTGACGGTTAAGAATGCGTTAATAATAAATTGTTTTGGTAATAAATGATAAAATTAATTATGAAAAATGTTTCTGTCAATTTGTAGAGAAATGTCAATTATGATTTTCAAAATAGAAAACATTCTCCGAATAATCATTTGAACATTCGAGATATATAAAAAAACGTTCATAAACAATAAATTTTTTCATTAAGGCATACAAGTTACCGAGTGGTCTGTCTAATGTATTATCAACATGACAATTTTAACTTCAAATTATCTCGAAAACTAATCTTTACAAAAATTTTCTTTTAACAAAGTTGTAAAGGTATTCGAAAGACCTTTAAAACAAGGTGCCACTCGACCTACTTTCCCTATCTAAATAAATAAATTTATCAAGCAGTTTTTGATGGAAGTAATGGACAGAAAAGGGCATGTTGATGTTATATACACAGATTTTGCAAAGGCCTTCGACAGAATAAGTCACTCCATCTTACTAGAGAAAATAGCTCAAATGGGTTCAAATCCCTCACTAACTCAACTTCAACGCTTTCAATTGTATCAGAAAACCAATGTTGTTTTTTATAACGGATTTGCATCTGCACCATACTCATCACCATTCGGTGTGCCACAAGGCCCTAATCTGGGACCCCTGCTTCTCCTCATCTTCATAAAGGATCTCACCCCCGAGCTTTCGTGTGGCAACTTACTTTTTGCAGACGACTTGAAGATAATCATCTATCACAAGTTTGGAGAGCTGCTCTCAATTAGACCTGATAGATAATTGGTGTCAAATCAATAAACTGGCAATGAATGTTAAGAAGTGCAAAGTTTGCTCTTTTACACGTAATGCCAATATCATTGAGTATTTTTATACTTTCTAGGATGAAATACTCCTTCACGAAGGAGCTGTCTAGGGGTGACGTTCGACGCATGTTGACATTTATAGGCCACACCAATACTGTTGCGACATCGGCTACAAAAATTCCTGGCTTTGTTCTGCGCAACTTTAAATCATTCACCAATACCATACTTTATACATATCTCGTTCGCTCCAAATTAGAGTATGCTACATTGATTTGGTATCCTCTCTATAAGCAACGTAGAATTTCATCAAGTATTATTATATTATACAAATTTTGCATTGTTCCATTGATGCATCTTCGTTACTAGAACAAATTTTGTTCATCAAGGATCTGTCCTGGACACGGTATTCAGTTCGTCAGGAATGATAACAAAGTATATTAAAATTGCATTAAGATAGCTACATTGCAAACTCAACCTCTTTCTCTAGATCTTCAGATTCAGGTCCAAATGTCATGCTGCATTCAAAACGGAAAGTAATCCACATAAAGTCAAATGTACGAAAGCATATAGAAAGAATGTTTGTTTGAAGGTGATTGACAATGTTTCGTGATGAATTTCACTAGTTCGGACTTCCATTGTCTACTGTATAAAATGATTTGAAATCCCTGAAACAAGTAAAAAGGAATAATTAAAAAAGAATAGTTAGGGTATTCAATTANTGGAACAAGAAAAGGATATAAAGGAAGTACAACGAGATTTTCAACTCATCTGTAAACCAGCAGCTGGGTTGAAACAACGCAAAGAGGACCAGAAAGAGAGTATTGAGGAAAGTGATGAAGAAATGGAGGGAATTGCTGAAGATGGTGGTGGGGTGACACTGAATTTCTTGACCTGCAAATGAAAAACGATATTTTTTATATTATGTGTCCGGAGATGTTTAGATAAAAATCAATATAGTTAGCTCTATGTTACTTGCACTTTGATTTCAATCACAAAAAAAGTAATATTTTCGGTGACAGTTCTGCTTTGTAGGCAGAACTATCACCATATGATAGTTCTTGTTTATATGAAAGTAGCTGTTTCGAGATGGCTCTTCTTCCAATTCGTGGCTGAAAGTTACTTCTATGCATAATCTACACATCTTTCAATAGATATGACTTTTTTTTAATTCATTGTTTCATTTGTTTCTTATTTATTTTAGGCTAGCCTTCTGGCAACTGGTGGATCATTGATTGGCATCGGATCAGATGTAGGGGGCTCTCTCAGATTACCCGCTCACTTTTGCGGAGTCTGGGGCCACAAGCCAACACCTGGAACTGTCTCTCATGTCGGGCATTACCCTAGTTGCAAGCACGATGAGATCTGGACAGCAAATTTCACTCTGGGGCCAATGTCGAGATACGCCCCTGATCTGAAGCTCCTACTTCAAGTCATCTCTTTTCCTCACGTCAGAAACAGGCTGAAGCTGGACGATTCGGTACGTAATCAAAACAGGATGTCGTGTCGTTGATAATAATAATAACCTCAACAATAATATTTGTGGCGCAGAGTTACTGCGCCGACTCAAGACTATAAGGTCGTGGGTTCGATCACAACCTCGACCAGAAATTTTTCTAGAAAGAAATCATCTAGTTGAAGTTGAGATGATTCTGCAACGTTACATGTCTGCGAATAGTCATGATGCTCCCTAGGTGGCTCGTGTAGTTATTAACATTGGCTACCCAGGACACGAGGCTAATGACCAATATAGTCGATGCCGATGACACCAAGAAAAAAATATTTGTGGAGGTTATTTTTGAGTCTATTTTATTTTAATGGACAATATATTACTTCTTTCATTTTTAGGTTAACGTTAGAGATTTGAGGGTGTTCTACGTGGAGAAAATCAAGACTTCTGTTACTTCCAGTATCAATGATGAATGTCTCACAGCACTGCACGACGTTGTTGATGCACTCAACGAAATTTGTTATGTTGGATGCGAGGAGGTTGGTATTCCTTAGGAAATACTAATTTTCGCTGTCACTGTGATTGGTGAAAAATATATTTACAGATCTGATATGCAAGTGATTATTATTCAGTAATTCAGTATTGCCTATTTTTGACCTCAGAACCTATCCTTGTCAATGTATTTCTGAGACTTTTACAAGCGTAATATCTCTGCATTATACTTCAGAATTGATACGCAATATCCAAGTTTTGATGATAATAATTATTTTTCAAAAGGTGGAATAAGCCACATTTTGAATGGGGAATTTTCCTCAATTTGGGTTATTACAGCAAATGCAAGTATGAATATAGAATAAAATGAAGTTGAGTTTAATTCATGAGTTTTTCAAATTCACTTCGGAAATTATTCAAATTGATGTTTCAAATGTTGGGTTTTAATTTTTAAAGGGATTTGTTTCTAATTCACATATTGGCAACAGCGCCTATATCAAGTTGAAATAATTTATACGTACCTATCGGCTTCGTCATGAATCTGGGTTTATTTGGTCGAGTTTGAATAGGTATGAGCCACAATACACCCTTGCGGGTTACAGTGGAGTGTCGAATAGACTTACTCACTTTTGATCTCACTTTTACTAACTTAATTGGACATTTTGTGACTTCGATAATATCAATTCAGTTCTACTCTCGATTTTGGAATGCCAATACAAAATTTCATTGAATCAGATGTTGGAAATATTCACCTTCTGCAAAAATGAGACCTCTGCACCTGAAGCTAATTGATAATGGGTTGAAAAGTGGGAGAAATATCAATTATATACAAGAAAATGAAACATACAATCTGTCCCAGGGTGCCTACATAGTAGGTTCTGGTTCAATATGTAACGGTGGATTGAATCATTCAATTCTACTTCTAGGTGTACCCATCACCATCAAAGGCAGCATCGAAGTTAAGAATATGAAGAGCACCTCAGGGATGGTTAAGAGGGCCGATATAATTGCAAAAGAAGATGCAGTCACTGTAAAATACGCGAGAGAAGCTGGTGCTATCATTCTGTTGACCTCCAATATTCCAGAATTGTGTCTCAACTGGGAATCGACGAACAAATTAATAGGCACTACGAAGAACCCATACAACACTACGAGAACCTGCGGCGGATCTTCTGGAGGTGAGGTAGGATATAAAATTGCTCTTTTTTGTTTCCTGGTAAATGGAATCGGTCCAGATAGATTTTTAATCGAAAGGTTCGCGGAAAAATGTGAGCAAAAAAGTCACACTTGAAACTTACACCCAGAGAAATACACAGAAAAACTCGTAGTTGTAGGGAATCCGATTGATGAAATAGAGATCAGTGCATCTTCGAAAGTGGCTTTGAAGAATACTACACTCCTACCTATTCAGCTTTTTTTCCATTTGACGATGTTACCGTGAAAGCTTCAATCTGTGGTTAAGAAGATAGTAAGATACAAGAAAAGTTCAGGGTTTTTTTACCACATGTATCTACAAACTATTTCTAACCAAAGCTCGTTGACCGATTGATGATTTTTTTTCTTTTTAGAAAGTTCCAATTCGATGTATAACATATACATATTTCCAGGTAGACTTACCTCTCCTGAGGTACGCTCCAGAATTATCCTCCATAGTCCTCCTCGACATAGACGACGTCGACAACCTATTCACGGGCAAAGGTGACGGATCAGTTATGGAGCTGCTGAGATACATGACCTTCAGATCCAACTCCGTCATCACTTCAATACTTTACGGGCTCTTGAGGAAACTTTCGAAACATGTTCCAAGGTCCACCACAGAGTATTGCACGAGAAAACTGGATGAGCTGAAATCGGATTTCATTAAGTTACTGGGGAAGGATGGTGTTTTGCTCATTCCAAGTTTCACTGCTGAAGCACACCACCATGGAGAAATATTCAGAAAAGCGTTGGACTCCGCTTACTTATCTATTTTCAACGCCTTGGGATTACCCGTAACAAATTGTCCAGTAAGATTCACCAAAGGTGGTCTCCCAGTTGGAATTCAGGTAAGAAACAATGAATGTTTTGAAGGAGCTTCAGACGAACTGTTCTCTGTGCAGTAATTTGAGGTTTTTCACTCTGAATTCTCCAAACAGTGAACGAGTGAGTGGTTGGAAACTGGAGAAAGAGATAATGGTAACGCTCCCTTCGGGGTGGAAATGTGTCCACTCACGATTATAACACTAATAATGATGATGCATGTGCAGCATGTGCAGCACATGCAGCCTCAGCCTATAACCATCGACATACTGCAGCCCTGAGAGTGATTTATCACCATCTGTGGCACTTTTACGGTATTGACGAGATACCGGTGTTGCCCGGAAATGTGAAGAATAAGAAATGCTAAATTCATTTGAACTACTCATTTCCCACCTACAGGCAGATACAAGCTAGATCTTCTCCACCATCAAAGCAAGACAATATTCATCGTGGAGTTTTCAGCTCAGAGTGAGACGAATATCGACCGAAAAGAGGTGGAAACAAAAATTTTCTCTTCGAACTTGGCAGGCCCTTCAGAGCACTCTGTTAAGATTGGATGATCATTGAACCCTCTCTTTTCTCTAATCTCAAGATCATGCTAAATTGACACACTAAGGCAGAAATCTAGGTCGAACGAATGCAGAAGGATGTCATTCTTGGCTGACTGCTTCTGCGTCAGACTTGCACTAGACTCGCACCAGTATTTTGCAGACAGACCCCAGGGATCCATAATGTCTCCAACCCTCTTTTTATTGTATATCAACGACTTATTGGAAAAAACCTAGAATCCAATATATTGCTTTACTGATGACAGCACACTTGTCTCTTCATTTCCTTTGGGTTCCAGGCCATTGACTGCGAATGCACATATTCACCTGCAGAGTAGAAGATGATCACTTGGTGATCGAAACACATGTCGAGGTGTTAAAAATAACGATTTGGTGGTGGGAAACCTCTTATGCATACTCGAAGGTAAGTTTTGTGGTTCATTCAAATGGCGTGATTCAATTATTCAATCGGGAGTTTCGTTCGTTTAATTATTTGTGAAACGCAAACACCTGGAGGAAAGGAAAAAGGCTGAGTGGCCGTGGAATTCTCAATTAATAACTGTAGAGGTGAGTTTTTCTTTACAAATTTCATGTACTTGATTGACATTTGGAAATGTTGCATGTTTGGCCACACCATTTTGTTTTCATCGTCGTTTGAGAATATTTAATTATAAAGAATTCAGATTGGAAACATGATCATAACTCTGTTGAAACGTCCTTTTTCTTTTTAAATCAGTTTTTCTGTAAACCCGGAATCAAACTTTTGTTATGTTTCTTTGTTATTAATCTCCATTTCTTTAACTAATTTTGTTTAATTTACTTTGAGTGTTGGGCATATCGAAAATTAGAAGAGAGTAAGGGCACTGTATAACTTTGATGAGACCCTGCTTTTGCCAAGGCCGAAATCGATTCCGATCGAACATACTGGGTGTCTGAAACCAGCGTGCCAGCGACTTGAGAATTTTTGGGATCAAATGTGATCAAGCCATGTTTTTTTCTTCATGTTTTTCCTATATTGAAGGCGAACTTTCTCACACAGGGTGTCATTTTCTATTGACAATAGCTCAATGAACTATTAACTATCGATATCAACTTTTACGTTGATTGAGCATCTAGTAATAATGATTATCAAGAAGTGAATCACTCCTGAACCGTATATCTAAAGGGGTGTGTATCACACCAGCTTAGACTCAACAGATGAAAGTCATCAACTGAGATTAGGTGAGGGTTGGAATGTCTCGTTGAACTCTAATATCAATTTATCATAAATGTCATTCTCTCATTTATTATAACAAGTCGCATCAAAGGTCGTGCAATCTACACATTTCTCAGCTCTGATAACGATATTTCACCATTAAGAAACTCAATAATATTATTTAGTTGTCTTCGTGAGAGTGTGTTTCAAATTTTCAAGCGTTGTATTCCGAGCGAAGCAAGCTTTCCAAAAATTTTCCTTTTTTTCCTGCTCCATAATATCTCGATGATAAAGAAGCATTAATTTAATTCACTTCGATACGGAACACGAAACTCTGAAACAGTTCAAAGTCAAAGACGAGTGTTGTACAAGGTCGTCAAAGTTTTTTGCGGTCGTAATATTTTGTCGTAAATATAAATCGGCAAATTCCACTTGAACGTGAGCCAATAGTGCGTGAGGTTTTCGTTATCTGGGACATTTGGTCCATCTGGGACATTTGTTCCATCATTGGAAGGATATTGTACCAGGTAATTTCAAAACTTTTGAACAGTTGTCATTAATAGAAAATCGCGATGTTTTAAACTCATCTTCGTTCATTTTGTTTGTTGAATATTATCAATCAATGTATGGATTGTATCATTTCAATTCCTAACAAAGCATAGGGCTTCAACGAAACATTTTTTTCAGTTGATTCAGTGGTACTTTCCATGATTTTCCTTTCTCTTTCCCTTCTTGTTGATAGGTTGCTTTTTATCTGTTCTCCATGAGTTCTTCTAGATCTGTCCTACACTGAAGATTTTCCGTAATTTCTATACTGACTATATCCGAATTTTCCATTTGATGTTCTAATTTTTTTCTTAGTCATGTTCGTTTGTCCCTCCGCATGTTTCACACTCATTTAGTAAAAAAAGATCGTATACTGCATTAAATTGAATTTTAATTTTCATTTTTATATTAAATTTTACAGTTCTGCAGTTTACAGTTACAGTTTACAGTTCTGCTGAAGAGCCAAGCGGCTTTCAAAGCACCAATCTGTCCTCCCACCTCCCCATGCCCCCTCCCGTGTTGAGTGACCTGAGTTGAAATCTTCCCCACACGGTTAATGTGTGAAGAACATCCCAACTCGTCCATTCACCCTCGCTCCTACGGAGCGGTCCTCAACTTACTGATGGGCACTTCAGCAAGATTGACATTTGACCTTCTTTGGTCGAAAGTCTGCCTCTAGGTGCTTATACTTTCTGATCTGTTGAATTGTTTTATCATGACTTTCCTAACTGAATTATTGCATGGGGTCCCCAAAAACTAACCGGAGGCGAGTGACTTTTTAATCGCGAACGAGTGTTGTTTCTCAGTGAGTCTGAAAAAGAGATTAATTTGAACTGGTTGAGAAATTTTTATACTCACCAATCTATCCTGACAGCAACTCTCGGGGGTGGTCTTTGGTTCTACTTCGTTGGCCTCCTGTGTTTGTCCCTCTCTCGGAATCTGGGGTCATCCCTGTTTAGTGCGTTATATAAGTCGCTTAGCGCTGGGTTGTCGTGCGCTCGAATTCTGTCGAACGTATCCTCGACGTGTTTCATCATGTATGCGTCCACGTAGTTTATGTTCAGGTCTAGATCCTGGAATATGTACCTATTCGGTACATATCTTGGAGCGTTTACGGCGGCCCTTACGCACGCGTTCATAAACGACTGGATCTGTTTTCTGTATGTCGCTGCGCACTGGCCTCAAGCAGTGCAGGCATACAGGATTATCGGTAGTACTACGGCCTTTATCATCAGCAGCTTCACTTTCAATCCCATGTTGCTTCTTCGACCAATTATTGGTAACTAGTTTTTGTCCGAGGCTTCGCTCGCGTTAAGAAGTGTTATTATTGATTAGGTATAGTTTTTGCGGCTTTCCTTTTGTTTAGCGAGTGTAAAAAATTATGGCCTACAAAACTTCTTTGTACGCAATATTCTTAACTAATCTGTTATTAGGCGCTAAAATTATCAAGCTATTGGGTGATCAATGAGAGAAACAATGTTCTCTCGAGTCAATTCCGCAAATTTGTTTTCCCCTGAGAATTGTTTATTGTCATGGCAAAGCAGACTTTTAGGGGAAACTGTAATCGTTTAAATTCTAACGGGATATCATTAGGTATTAATGGGATTCATGGTATGAATACAGTTTCCCCTTTCGCACACCCAGTTAATAGAGTGGCTTCCACTATATTGCAATGTAACGCTTTCACTTGCAGTTTCGTACTGTTAAAAAGTTTTGGTGGTTTTAAATTTCGCAACAACATAATTGGAGAGCCCACACGCAGAATAAGCTTATGACAAGACAAACCTGGCGGTTTCAATGAATTTAAAAATTCTACAGGGTAATTAGTAATGTCATCTGTATTAACCACAATATCAATCGAGGTATAGACCTCTTCTTCGTCTTCAACCGACATGAGAAGGATATCGTTGATAGCTGCTGCTTGATCGTTCTTTGGAGTAAGTATGGCACGCTCACATAACCATTCAATAGGCTTGTCATGTATATGAATAATGTCTGGATAAACTTTAGGCAGCAGTACTTGAACCGTAGAAACAACTGTGCACAATTCTTCCGGGATGGTTATCATTCCATTAAACGATGGAAAATCACCATTAGGGATTTTAAGAAGGAGATCTGAAAATCTAGCAGCAGACTCATCTCCGCCCAAATGTGCTCTCATATTTTTAGAGAGCTTAAGAATATTAACTTGGGGCCACAAATTAGATTTCTCAATGCACGACTTTACTTCGTCAGCTCTGGTTCCTTTTGGCACCACTGGTAGAGTCTGCCGAAAGTCTCCGGCCAGCAAAACTGTTACTGTTAATCCTTTGTCTAGGTTGACCTCCAAGTATCTAGCTTCGTTGGTCCACGGAATCTCTTGTCCGTTGAAGATGACATTTCCTTCCGGGTGTACCCTCCTCCGGGTAAACAGTATTGCCTAACTCTTGTCAGGGTTAATACTGATCTTCCACTGGTTGGCCCATTCCTCTAATATATCTGCCTGTTGCTGCAGGTATCTGGTGACGTGCGCTTGGCTTGTTGATCTCACCAGCAGAGCTGTGTCACCCGCGTAGAGCGACAACTTGGTAAAGTTGTTCTCTGACTTGGGCACATCTGCTGTGTATACCGAGACCAATCTGTTATTAATACGGAGACTCAACAAATGGCATTTGGTCTGGACTTCCAGGTAATGAAACTGCCAATTTCCTTACTGGATAGGACACTGCAAGCATTATGACTGAACAATCAGACTGCAGTAAAAGTTTTAGACGCTTGAAACCTATTACTGGGCAATCATATATCCTTGAAAGTATGACTATACCGAGGATGGCCTACGTTGCCTATAAGGCCTATTTACAGGTCATTGTCTTCGGAACCACCATATCCTGAGACTGGGCAAGTCGAGTACAAACAGATATGAGCCACAATAAACCCTCACGAGTTGCAGTGGAAGGTCAAATAAAATCACAGACTTATGACCTGCATACCTATGTGCAAGACCATTGCAATGGTCGTGAGTCGTAAAGGTATCCGGTAAATATTTCGGTACTATTTATTCGTTCGTTCGTTCGTTGTTGGTTTGTTCATTGGTTTGTTCGTTGGTTTGTTCTGTAATACCTAGCAAAAGTTGTGTATATCAATATATAGTCTTGATTCGAGAATAGATAAATTTCTTTTGATTCAGAATTTTAAACGCCGGTTCTGTGCCTCATACAATGTAACATCTTGGCCAGACCGTGAGAGTGTTTATATAAAAATTCATCTGCGTGTTTTTGGCCAGACGCAGAGTAATATATATTCGTCACGTAGCATGGGGTATACATGACCACATCAATTTCCGGATCTTGAAATCTATAGATTGCAAGATAAGCGAAATAGGGCTTTTCGGGTGATCTTATTCGCGCGTGGGAGACGGTTATCAAGAACGGCATGATAATCAGCTACCATCTTACTAAGGCGGTCCATAGACTCATTTACTAATACATTCGGCAAATCGAGATCCACTGGGAGGAAAAAGAATCTCCCGGTAATGATCGAGGAAGGGTTCGAGAAACTGGTGCGAGGGACCCGTGATTTCTATCTTGTAAAATTGTACCAATAAATTCTTTTTTTTTTTCAGATAAAATTCCAAATTCGTTTATCATGGACCCTCTCTTCAAGGTTGTATTATTTGTACTGAAAATCTTGAGAGTGATTCTTCGCCCTTTAATAGTTTACGCATCAAGAGGAAAGAGAAAAATTGTACCACCACTCAGAAATCGATTACTGGAAATAAGCGCCACTGATTTAGCTAGAAAAATTCGCAGGAAAGAGGTGAGTTTTCACTTCAATTTGAAGAAAAACTTGAAAACTTGGACGCTTCTTTGGAAATGCTAGTGATTAACGTAGAAAAAAAACAATGTTGGAAAAGTATAGTACAATATAACATTCAATATTATTCATTTAAATACGAGTATGAGAATTGTAAACAGCCTTGACGAACGAAAGAATATGTTCATGACATGCTAATTGAATGATCGATTAAACAGAAACTCAGCAAAACAGGTATTTAATTAGGAATAAAAATAACGATCAAGTAAAATGTAATATTAGATCTAAAGTGACGAATCGGTTATTAATAAAAAAACAGTTAATAGTTACAAACAAGTTATGTCATTTTGTTTTTGAAAGACGAACCTTTATAGAACTGTGGCTTTTTGATATTCAAACCATTGGTCTTTTCCACGGGTAAACTTGACAACAAAGAGGTCGTGAACTTTTGACTTTATATGACGTTAAGTGTCTGTGAAGTCTTAAGATTCAGATCTTTTTTTCCGTTATCCATGAAAAATCAGGAATGAGGCGGCTGAACGAGGTGACCAAAACTCTGTCACCGAGTTGAAACCCATTCAGTAGCAACCCCACATACAGCTACGAAGCGATAAGCCGATGTAAGGATTATTTTTTAAGAAATGTTGAAGATATAGTCGAAGTAAACGATATTGTGCACTCTTAAATTTGGAGGCACTCTCAAAGACCAAAAAACCAATACATAGAAATGAACCGGCAGCAAACTAGTCCACGTCGACTGCAGACTTGGCGATTCGTATTAGATAATTTCCACTAACCGAGTTTTATGATTGGATGAAGGATCAAAAAATTAAATTTGAAATCATGTTGACGAATGAAAATCGAGGAATGCGGCCTTGGTTGTCGTCGTCGTGTTCAGTTCAAGAACTGATTGCGATTTGAGTGTTGAAATTCGATATTGGTGCAGTTATAATCACTTAAAATTTTTGTTATCTATTCAAAATGGGGCGTCCTTAGACAAGTCCTAATAGTAATAACAAGTGTGATAACAACGCAGACTTTTTCCAGTGTAGTGATTCCAATAGCGATGGCGAACAATGCGAAAAAGAGATACCAGTGAATGAGAATCGGATGCATTTGAATATTGAAACACAGAGAATATGTTTCAATGTATATAAGAATCTACATCTCAAATTTGGTTTCAAGAGAAACGATGTGACACACGCGATGTGACACAGGATTACCAAATATTTTTAGATGTTCATCTAATAAAATCATCAAAGAAAACAATATACGACTGTTACAAAAGCAATGAGATTCCTAAAACTGAAATCATAAGGAAGAAATTGAATACTTCCGGCCATAACGTGAGGTGCTGTGACTAAACTCTTCAGAATTGGACAAAGAAACTTGGATTTAGATTTAAAATAATGAACAAACGTCAAGCAGGTATGGAAAGCAGAAGAATAGTGGAATTGCGTAACAAATACTTAGAATAAATAACTAAATAGAGACACGAACAACGGCAAATTTTCTATTTGGACGAAACTTGGTATGACACTCACGACACAGTTACGAAAGGGTGGACTGATGGTTCGAGAATGTGTACGCCTAACATGCATGCAGACAAATGATCGTGACTAATTATTGTGCATTGCGGAGGAAGTAAAGGATGAGTTATGAATTTTTTGAAATTATGTGGAAAAAAACTTGAGGAATGCAATGTTGACTATCATGAGAACATGGAAGCTAATATTTTCGAGAAATGGTTAATGATCAGAAAGTATTTATCTATTTATCTTTTGATTTTCATGGAATTATTTTCCAGCAGCTTGGCTGCATTAACCTTTGTCGATTTCATATCATTTCTAGAAACATATGGATTCAGGTTAGCTTCCCAAACTTCTGCTACCGCAGTTGTCGGTTTATTGGTGAAATCACCAACACTGACATAAAAACTTGGCAAGTTGACTTGGGTGTTACACCAATAGGTGGTTCCACTTATGTTTCACTTGCGTTTACGCCAGTTATTTTTATCAAATTCTTTTCTGGTTTTTCACATTTTGTCTTCAATCAAAGACCGCCTGCCCGGTACTGACGATGCCCGATAGGCTGAAACAGCTGTCTACCGGTGGCTCTGAAATTGAAATCAATATGGGAATGATCAGAAAGTATTTATCTATTCATCTTTTGAATTTCATGGAATTATTCTCCAGCAGCTCGACTGCATTAACCTTTGTCGAATATGAAAGTTATTGAGTGTCTTGATATAGAAACAGAAGTTAATATCTGACATAGCACTCAGGAAAGTGGCAAACCATAGACACGTGTTTCGGGCTTTTGGCCCATCATCAGTATGGTGCAGCCAAGTGTAAGGATGGGCAACACTTGGTTACCAAAAGATAGAAATACAAATGCACGGGGCCACCAGCAGGAGCCAACTGCACATTTGTGGTTTCAGTTGATAGATCTTGTGTTTACTATATCAAGACACTCAATAACTTTCATATTCGTATAATTTCCTGGACCCGGATGTCACGCAGGTAGCTATAGCTGCCTCCGTGGTGATTTTGATAGTTTTCTTGTAAACACAAGATCTATCAACTGAAACCACAAATGTGCGGTTGGCTTCTGCTGGTGGCTCTGTGCATTTGTATTTCTATCTTTTGGTAACCAAGTGTTGCCCATCCTTACCCTTGGCTGCACCATACTGATGATGGGCAAAAGCCCGAAACACGTGTCTATGGTTTGCCACGATATCGTTTACTTGAACTATTCCAGCTCAGCCAAAAGTCTGAAATGTGCCTTCCTTAGGTGTAAATTTAGGGACTAGAGTTAGTAACGTGTGAAACACCGTACACTTCGGGGGATTCATCACATATTTGATTTTTGTTGTCAGTTATCCAGTGAAGAAGTATGCAAAGCCTACATAGAGCGCATAAAAGAAGTGAACCCTTTTCTGAACGCCGTCGTCGAAGACAGATTTGAAAAAGCTCTAGAAGATGCTAGAAACGTCGATAAATACCTGAAAGAAAGTAATTTGAATGAAGAAGAACAGGAGAAAATCAAACCGTTGTTGGGCGTTCCTCTCACTGTCAAAGAAAGTTGTGGAGTGCAAGGTAGGATGAAAAATATTTTTATTTGATTTCAGAAAAGTAGTAGAATGTATCTTCTCACATTCTACTTCAATTAAAAATACTCATAAGAACTAGAGTAAGAATATTTTAGTCAGTCTGGAAGTATCAAATTTTGATAACACATAAATTGAACATTTTTTGAAAAATTATATGCTGCACTATTATTTATGTTCTCCAAAGTGATGTGCGGACTATCACAATCTAAGTCAAAATATTTAGAACGTTCGAGGCTACTTCCTCACCTGAGGTACCTCTGATATTCGTGGGCATCCAATCAAAAACTCCATCAAAAACTTTCTGCTTACATTTCACCACCAGGTTACTGTTCAGCGACATGTCCTTTGTATATGTTTAAAATATGTTTTTCCGTTAACCAGCTGTCGCATCCCTACGAACAACAACTCTCAGGAGTCGAAACTTGTGCGAGCTAAAGACTAAGGTCTTACTTTTTAACGTGTGACTCCTGACACGGGTTAGACGATAGCAAGTGAAACATCGATCGTTCAGCCTACGGCTTGAACCACCGACTCACACAATGGTCGATTGACTGAGTGATTAAAGAAGCCACGTCGAAACGCCTTGCTACCGACCTACCTTGCAGTGGTTAAAGGAGTAATACTAACATTCAATCGTTGCATCTATCCTTTTTCCGCTTCACACGCATTATATCCCATATACCTCCAGATCAAACGAACAACGAGGGTCTGCTGGAGAACCCAATAATCTTGGACTGTTCGACACTACTTCAGAACAGTTGTCCCTATAGCTGAACAACGGGAAAATTATTTTCTGCTAATGTTGCTACCACATCAGCATTATCCATGCTAGAAGTTACATCATCAGTATTCTCTCATGGAATGAGCATGTTGAAATTATTGGCAAGATTGTATATTTTATTGGAACACAAATACCTCCGGTCTCTCAGTATTATGGCAATATTATAGCAATAATTCGAAGACCGGGTAGTTGCGCAATATCACAAGGCATTAGAGTTATCACTTCAAAGAACTTGAATCTTGTGTCTGGTGATAAATTCCGTTACCAAACTTAGTTTTTTATCAAACCCGATATTTTTGCTTGCTTGCATTTCATTTGAGAGATACCTTATTGATGAAGTTCTCTTTCTCGAAATTATTTCCTTATCTGACTCTTTGAGAGTTCATACAAAAAAGCTGTGACCCAAAAAATCTCATCCTCGAGGTCAACAATATCCTCATTTCCTTCAATTCCCTTATGAACCGCAGCCCTCATCAAGTATCCTAGATTTCTATCTCTACTAGTCGTCTCGAGAAGTTTTTGCAGTTCCAAGTTAGTTTAGCTTCACAAAGGAATTGGCACTTTGACCAAATTCTCATTGTAGAAACTCTTTCCCCGTCTGACTCTTTGGAAGTTCACACAAAAGAGGTTTTAATCCAGAGAAACTACTCTTTCTACTTCTGGTCCTTTTGGAGAAACTGCTCCTTCTTGTTCAGGTCATCCATTTTTTTTTATTTCCCCCATCTACCTTGAGAACTGAAGCCTTAATCAAGTTTATTGGATTGCTATCTGTACCAGTGTGTTCAGAAGGGTTTTGCAGTTCCAAATGAACTTGCACTTCAATTCGTCACCCATCTAGCTCTTTGCGGGTTAACACAAAGAAGGTTTTGAACCAGAGAAACCTCGAAGTCATCAATTTTCTCATCCTTTTTATTCAAGCACAAAACACAAACACTACAGAAAAATTCTCAAGGCACACTAGGAGCGCTCTTGAACTGGAGCTCTCATCAAAGTTACTGGATTTCTATCTCTGCTTCTCGTCTTCTTAGGAGAGTTTTGGATTTCCAAATTAGTTCAGGTGGATGGTGAATGAATCAAAACTTTCGAGCAGCTGTCAAATAAAATAAAGATTTTTGTTTTCATAACATACAGCCTGAAATATTATGGAGATGCTTTCATGATGTTCAAGGAGTTTGAATATTCTACGCTGCACTGTTTATCAATCTTGGTACGTCCAGAATATCACAATAATGTGTTCTCACCCAGCTGCGGCTGTTTCGATGCGACTGTTCATGGAAATTTCCAAATAACCTCAAAACGTGCTTAACTAGCATAACATCTTTCTAAGTTTCGTCATGGATTCCATTGAAAATCTAGAATCTTCATATACTTGCACACATTCTTTGCTTTCATATCTACTGTATGGTCAATCTTGAAGACACTGATTACTGCTTCTTCCGTCATTAGAAGAAAACTAAAGAATATTACTGGAGTTTTTTTCCACCACCAAACTGTTATTTCAACACCTCGATCATCTTCAAGAGGAAGATCAAACCAGTTTAATCTTCCTCTTGAAGATAATCACTTGGCGATCGAAACACGTATCGAGGTGTTACAATAACGGTTTGTTGTTGGGAAAACGCGCGTTGAGACACATAATTCTTGTCTGGTGTGGAAAAATCTAGTTCACTCCAGAAGATTCTGTTGTACTTACGAACAAACAAGTAATGTTGGACGATTCAGCATTCACTATAGCAACTGTGCAACTGTGGCAAACGTAGAATTAGTCCGTGTGATTTCCAAACAGGCTGATCATCATACTTTCTCCAACACAACTTTGAATACTATTTGGTATGACCCATAAATCATTTCAAATTTTAAACTCATCACAATTCCTTATATTCTTCGGCATAACCAGTTTGCCTCTGTAGCTTTGGAGATAATATTGTCTATGTGCTTGCTCCGAGTCAGTATCTGGCCGATGAATATTCCCACACAGTTGCAAACTAAAGCCCAATCACAACGCATTTATGTTTTTGAAATTCAAATTTTCTCTTCATGAACACCTGTATATTGAACCAAAGTTACTTTCCAGAAATGGAGCAATCTGTAGGCCATCTACCAAGAGCTGGAGTGAAAGCTGAATCTGATGGTGAAATAGTTTCAAGACTGAGAGCAAGTGGCGCTATTCCTTTAATAGTTTCAAATACACCTGAATTGTGTTTGTCTGTGGAAAGCACCAACTTCATTACTGGTACAACCAATAATCCTTTTGACACCACATGTACAAGCGGTGGATCATCAGGAGGAGAGGTAAAGAAACTTGAAAGAGAACTCAGAACCAATAAAATAAAACTTCTGAGAATCCAAAGTTCTCTACACTCTTGGACAATGAACTCTCAGAACATCTACCATTCGATTCAGATCTCAGAATCGAAAAACAAGCACTTTCTCGATCACCAGAAATGTAATATTTTTTTCGACGCGCGTTTCGCCATCCAAGTTGGCTGAAAAAGTTCCCTTCATCTCTTGAGAAAGCCAACTTGGTGATTGGGAAAAGTGATTGTTTTTGGAGGTTCTAGATTCATCGTTCATTATATTTTAGGGTTTCACTGTTTGAGAATTTGCGGGATCAGGGTTCAATTCCTGGTTTGAATATGTAGAAAGTGTAAAGGTTCATATTTGAGGAATTCAGTATCTAATAGTTGGTTTAGTTGGTGATCAACCGTTGGTTTCAGGGTGCTTTACTGGGTGCTGGAGCATCAATTATTGGAGTTGGTTCGGATATTGCAGGATCCATCCGAATTCCAGCTTTTTATAATGGTATATATGGACACAAACCAACTCCAGGTGAGTTTTGAGTCCTATAACTTTCATTTACTCACCCAACCGATGTTTGTAAAGAGTATTTTTTTCAATTTCAGGAGTGACATGGCAAAACTGACTTTTCATATTTACAATAGAACTTATATTCTAAAGTAACTGATGTAGCTAGAAAGTAAAGTAAGAGAATGACGTCATGATTCTATCTGATCTGATAGTGCTTCAAGTTGGATACTTCAATACCTGAAGATAAATAATAATAATAATAATTCGTTCCCCATCCACAGGCTCATACATGCTAATAAGCCTGATGTGGTCCTTCTCGACCACCAGAGCAAAATGATATTTGTCGTGGAGTTTTCAGNCATGGGTGTTCTTTTTTGATTGAAAGCCGAACTGGTTGTTGCTGATGACACTATTATTATTTGAAAAAATTGTCAATCTTAATTTAACCAGTTTCTTTATTAGCTTGCCTAGAGTGGGAATGAGACATATAGGACGGAAGTTTGAAGAATCACTGAGATCACCACCTTTGTGCAATGGAATAACTATTATATTTTTTAGTCGAGAAGGGAATGTTCCGGTCTTAAAGGAACGAACGCTGGAGCATTAAATGTGGTATCCGGAAGGTTAGCAAAGATAATAATATCAATAAGTGATGAAGCCCTTGCGTCTCAATCAGTGTTATTATTAGGAAATTATATTTAGTGTGTGAATTGAAATGGTTACTTCAGTTTTCTCTCCAGTGAATCGAATGTGCAAATATACTTTTTCTGTTAACGAAAACATTGTTATTCTCAAAGTACATCACGCTCTCATACCCCTAAAGCATTCTTATACTGTTGTTACTCTGTGTTTGTAAACGAAGGGATTTTCCAAATCATTGATATATCAATTTAAGAATGATAGAGAAGATGGAGCTTTGAAATCACCAAATCCACCTTTAGGAAAAACTGTGCTAGTTGATGAAAACTGCATACTTGCAATCAGGAGAACAGTACATTCATTTTATTTAAATAAAGAAATACCGGCCCTGGACAAAATAATGGGGGACTTGTAAGTATGTTTCCAATGATAGGTCTTGACAAAAAATGACGAAATTATTTGCTGGAAGAGACATTACAGGTTTCATAAACCAGCATATTTCAGTTTTGGCAAATCAAAACGAAATCACAATATTTTGTTAGCGTTCTCCATTTATGATGAGCATTTATTACTCTTTATTATCAGGAAATAGTGTATAGTTTCGCTAGTTTCTAATCATCTAGTTGTAAAATTCTTTACTCTCTTTTATTATCATGTTGCCAGCATTAAAAACTCCAACAAAATTTCAGAGGCTCAGCTTGCTCGCAACTCTTGCTGTAAATACCGTTCTCGTGGAGCACTAGTCAGAAGTAATAAAAAGTTAGCTAGGCGTGAGGTTTTCCAATTTTTCTCTCCCACAAGTTAAATTTTTTTTGAAGGATAATAAAAATACCAACAAAATTTCAGAGGCTCAGCTTGCTCGCAACTCTTGCTGTAAATACTGTTTTCGTGGAGTACTAGTCAGAAGTAATTTTCCTCTCCCACAAGTTAATTTTTTTTGAAGGATAATAAAAATATGACAACTTAATTCAGTATTCATTTTGGCCTAGTACCTAGTGAATCACCATTACAATTTCAATAAACTTTTCATTTCCACTTCAGGGGTAGCGTCGATAAAAGGACATTATCCTTATTGTCAAGACGTGAAATATGCAGATTTTCTCGTTATTGGGCCAATGACCAGATACGCACGAGATCTCAAGTTGATGATGGCAATAATGATAGATCCAAACCAGAAATCGAAGCTAAGGTTGCAGGAAGCAGTAAGTTTTGAAAATAGGCAGGACGATCGACTTTATCAAATTTCAAATGTGAAATTATGTTTTTCCAAACCGATTTTGTGGCATGCTCTTCAACCAAATTGATACCAGTTTTTGAATAAAATATTTATTTTCAGGTTGATTTGTCCAAACTCAACGTATTTTTCATGAGAGATGCAGATAATTATGTACTGCCTGGTGTACAGGAAGAAATAAAGAAAGCTGTTGAAACTGCTGCTACATATTTGAAAGAAAAATGCGGGTCACACATTTTTCCACACATAAAGATGCCAGTTAAGGACACGACCAATGTTTGTGCTCAACTTCTCTATTCGATAGAGGATATTCCAAATCCGTTGAAATCAGTGAGTATAGTAGATACTAATACTTCTTTTCTTAAAATACTAAATACAAACGAAGAAATCGGCCACAATGGTTATGGTAGACCAGAAAAAATTGAAATATATAAAATCAACTTCGGAAAATGTTCATGTGGAGATGCTANAAAAAAAGGAAAAAAGCAAGGTGCATACTTTTCGTTGGACCATTCGATATATATTCTTATTTCTAAAGGATGAATACTGCCTTGCTGTTCACCAAATTGACAAGAGTGATTTCCATACCTAATATCTGCTCACCCACTGTCCTTATTAGATCGTTTTATTAATATGAAAGGATCTGAAAATTCCTTTCACTTCACCACAGTCACCATCAGATGTTGCGAAGTGCCCTGAGACACATCAAGACCGGGTATCCCTCAAAATGATCAGTCTCATTGACTCTTTTTTGATGAATCACTTCATCTTTCTCATAAACTCTATCATTACCAAATGGAAAGATGGAAAGATGGATTGTTTATTCCTCTGACTAAATATAACTCCCCTACAGTCTACAGTCATTTCTGACCAGAGACCAATTGCAGTTCTCCCACGACATTCTGAAGTGGTGGAATTGATACTGAAGATCAGATTAATAATGATGTCAATAAAAATCATATTACAACATCTGTACAATCAAAATTCGGACCCCAACATGGTTCAAATTGAAAGGGTATATTTTTGGAAAATATTGAATTTTGAGAAAGAAAGTTTTTGGCCTTCTACTCCTCCATCTTGATACAAAAAACGTGGGAATCTTCGAAAGGAAGGAAGAAACCAACCGTTAACTAACAACGATCTTTTTGAAGCTGTGGAGGATCAGGATGTGACTGTTTAGTACTTCTAGATCACTCTTGGTCACGAGACATTATGTGGCAAACTTGTCTACTTTGATTATTTTGGAAAGTACTGTTGTTGTGGATGCAGTTTTATCGGATGCTCAACTGGTATCAAAGGGAGTGCCACAAGGAGCCTTCCTGGGATTCTTGCTTTTCAACTCGTATGCCTGTAATTTTTATCTGTTTGTTAAAACATACAATATACATTACTATGCGAACGACACGCAGTAACATTTCTATTTTCTGCCTCGTGATTCTAGATGTGCCCAGTCATATATCAATAAAGATCTTCAAGACATCTTTTACATTTTTACAGCCCATAAGCTCAAACTCAATTCTAAGAAGAAGAAACCTAAAAAGAATCGAGAGCTCCCCAACTCCACTTTTCAAGTCCACGTCGAAAATGAAATACTTTTGAATTGCACTTTTTATGGTAAATAAAGACGTATTTTTATTATTGTTAAAAAGTTATCAGGACAGTAACTGATGACTATCAAATTAGCGAAACTGTCAGTAATGTCCAAGATAATCATTCAATAAACAGCGACTTTGTCTCAACTTGAGCAACTCTCTGTCTTTTATCATTCATGAGAAGTCTCTCGAAAGTCTCAAAATTGAACATCTCAGTGGCAGCACAGTTATTAAATTTTTCTGGTACATTATACTGTTTCAGGATGACTCCAGTCTAGAGATGGAATTTCTTAAAGGCTTATTCGGATTTTCAAAATACACCACTCATCTCACATTTTTCTTAATTCAGAAAAAAATCTTGAATGCATGTGTTAATGATCGTTCCAAGCAGTGCATTACATGGGGTGATACAGTTAAAGTAAGTATTGAATGATTAACCTAATAATTTCACAAAATAATCATTTTGCCTTGTTTAATCACTTGAAATCTGGAAAATTTTGGACTTCTTCTATATCTTCAACCATTGGTTCGAAAAAAAGGAATTTTTTGGGTAAAGGGTTTTCGTGTAGCTTCAATGTTCGGCATCAACTGCTATAAAATTTTACTGAAAGACACTTCATCAGGTGAGATATTGATGATTTTACAAAAAGAAGGATATACAGGGTGTTGATTGAGTATGTACCATTAATTCAACAGACGATTCTTTAGGTGAATTTAAGACGAAATGTTCATATAAACATGGGTCCGCAAATTCTTCGTTCTCAAGATACAGGGTGTTAAAATAAAAATGAAAAAAAAAGTTATTCGTAAATATCTTAAATATCCTTCACCTAATTTTGTTGTAATTTGACAATGGCATTTATAATATGAAGGAGCTAATTTAGCCTGAACGTGATTCAATTTATTGAGTCCAGTGGCGTCTCGAGCGGGATTTGAACGAATATTTTTTACCTTAAAATGTACGCTACTGACTTTTGTGCAATTTTCATTATTTCTATAGATTGAGCAATCAGAAATACAACTTTTTTGTCTCTTGAATTTTTTTCGTATCTTGCTTAGTTTTTAAGAAAAAAGTCGACCTAATTGCATATCCCTGGACCTCACAAGGAATAATATGGGGGAATTAAATGTTTCTTTTGGAAATTATTATTTTTACAATTTTTCATTACTAATTATGTAACAATAACAACAAATATTAAATAACATTAACATCTAGACTAACGAATTGCACTAAATTAAGTGTTGGAAATGGCCTCCTTCGACTTCAATACAACCGTCTAGCCGCCGCATCATTGAATTTACAAATATTGAATATTGAATATTCCAAAGGGGCTCGTTTTCATATGAAAATTACCTTTTCATCAGTTTCTCCGTACCGCTATATTTTCGGAGGCTGAAATTCTCTATGTAGTTTTGTTTTGTACTGCAGTTGTGCAATAAGAAAAGATTTTTAAATATTCCAACTGGGGTACCCCCACTAGTGATAAAATGGGCGCGTTCACATATGAAAATTACTCAGGAATTGTTGAATGACGTCAACGGTGATCCAGATTCGCTTAAAAAGGTCATAACTAGTGACGAATTATGGCTATATGGTTATGACATCAAAACCAAAGTACATTCGTCCCAGTGAAAGAGCCCAGGAGAGCCAAGACCAAAAAATCACGCCAAGTTCGATCAAATGTCAAGGTCGTACGGCCAATAAGGAGTATTATCTTGCTGTTAGGCGCCACTGGTGAGAATCAATATGAATAAAACAGAATTTTTTTCCAACAGCAACATTGTGATCATGGCTCAGCCATTGCATTCACCAGATTTGCCATCCTGCGACTTTTCCTGTTCCAAGATTGAAGATACCCATGAGAGGATGGCGTTTTACTATGATTGAGAAGATGAGAACAGAATCGCTGAGAAAGCTCAAGGACATATCAAGAAGTACATACCAGAACAGCCTCAAGAATTTAAAAAACTCTGACACAAGTGTATTATATCTGAGAATGACTACTTCGAAGAGGACTCAATATAAATTGAAGAACATACCTCATTAGACCACAATATGGGACCAAGGACCGGAATGGGACGGACCAAGGGGGCTCTATCCTTGGTCCCATTCTGTTCTCTCTATATATATCTGACTTTCATAAAATAATTGATCATTGCACAGTTCATCATTATGCAGGTGACACTTGGTTATATTATCGATTCCATCCAAGTAACTAGCAGGTGGCAACTGAAAATATTACCAGCGATCTACAAAAGTTACTGGATCTATCTATAGCCCATAACCTGAAATTGAATTCTAAAAAAATCTCAGCTGATACTTTTTGGCCCGAAACACAAAAGGTGAAAGAATTGAAATCAAACTCGGGCAGGACTTACTACAAATAATTACATAAAGCAAGAATTCGGGTTTGTGGCTAGATGCTGATCTGAGATTTCACTTTATCGTAGCTCCTACAGTATCTTACGTCAACTCTATCAAAGTAGAGATATTATGACTTCCAAATTGAAGTTGAAACTTTTCGAAACCCTCATATTGTCTAGATTAGCATATTGCGATATAGTCTACGGGCCTGCTTTGATACAAATTGATGTAGGTCGCTTACAAAAAATACAAAACAATTGCATTCGTCTTTCTTATGGTGTGAGAAAATTCGACCATACATCCCCCAAGTTCGAAGAGTCAGGTTGGTTACCGATTGCTAAAACCTGGCAGTTCCACCTACTCGTCAATACATATAAATTTTAAATCTCAGAATAAATCGAGGACACGAAACCGTCACCATTTTATTATTTCAAAACACTCGACAGCCTGCTTTTCTCGTAGTTTAATTTGCAACTCTGTCAAACAATATAACGCTCTGCCCAGTGAATTTAGACACTAATCCATATATAATTTCAAGAAAAAGTTGAAAACATATCCGAAGTCTTCTGGATAGATAATATAATCATGTTATGCTTTGTATCACTTCTGTGTATGTTTTGCTATATATTTTACCTTATTTAAGCTAAATAGATATTTAATATTCACTTCGAAATGTATAACTTTTGTTTTTTTCTTAGTTTCACAAAGATTCATGAACTACTCACTTACCAATGTATACTAGGTAATCATTTTTATATTTCTATATAATACATGCTATCCCCTAGGTTAAGTTGTAAAACAGCCTAGGCTGATGAACTTCGCCCTTTCATTGATTTTTGTATCTACTTCTTCTTTATAAACAATGTATGTCAATTAATAAAGCCCGTTCATCATTATTATTATTATTATTATATGCCTCACAGATCTTTTTTCTCTGATGAGAGTATTTTTAAAAAATCTGGTATAAATTTTTCAATTTTGTATATAAGAGATGCAATAAAATCAACAAAGGCGTATTCTTCTGCACCCATGAATATGATATGATATAACATCGAATCAAAAGTGATTTTACTCATCATAGGTCTCCTGTTCACCATTTTATTCTTGAAATTTTATATTGGTTAATCGAAACAACTGTTTAAAATATGTTTTTCGTTAACAAGCTGACACACCCCTGCGAACGACAACTCTCAGAAGTCGAAACTTGTGACAACTAAGGATTAACAAGGTCTTACCTTTTAACGTGTGATTCCTAACAAATATCAGAATATTGGAAATAAGTGGTCGAAATGGCAAGTGAACGCGGAAAATGATTCACTGACTCTCATACTCATCAATCGAATTCTCAGAAATTTCTCAACAGACCAATATTGATAGTTTGTTTTAGGATATTCTTGGTGATAATGGAGTATTTATTTATCCCACTTTTGGATCGACTGCGAGCAAACATGGAGAATACATTTTCACGTCAGCTTTCTTGGGATACACGATATTTGCCAATGCTTGGAAGCTACCTGCAACATCTATTCCTTGCGGTTTCGACAAAAGCGGATTGCCGTTCGGAATCCAGGTGAGATTTGCTTTTGACAGAGAGTAATAACCCCTTATTATGTATGCCAAACTGGCTTTCTATAAACATTGCATCGCGTATCTTCCAATGAGCATTAGGTACATATTATTTTGTAAATACTTTTGTACACAACTCAGTACAATAACAATGAGGTCACAATCATAAAACAACATAATTATATGATAACGATAAAAATAAAATAAATACAACAATAAAAATTAATTGGCGCTCCGGGGCGACTTCATTGATTCCAGTGGCGCATTTGCTTTTATGGAATGGAATGGAATGGAATGGAATGGAATGGAATGGAATGGAATGGAATGGAATGGAATGGAATGGAATGGAATGGAATGGAATGGAATGGAAGAGAATAGTTTATTGGTTACGTGATACATTTGAACAAATATTTGTAGCAAGTCAAAACACAAAAATTTATAAATATGACGTCATATATACAAATAAAACTATCACAATGCTTGTATACTAGAACAGTGCACATAATAATGAAAACAATCAATCAACTAATGTTAAAAATGAGAACAATTGTTACTCACTCAAAGTCACATGAATTATCTATGTTGTATAACATGTACTCATCTGTAAAATAGAAACAGTGATTTGAAAAAAATTATTTCAGTTTTTGCTTGAAACAGTAGGAACTGAATCTCTCAGTTCTTATCAGATTTCCTGATCTTGTAGGATCAGGAAATCTCTTATCAGATTTCCTGATCTTGTAGGATCAGGAAATCTGATAAGAACTGTATTTCTTGCGATTGTAAAATGTATTTCGATTTATTTTTATGAATTTCAATCAATGTTTCATATACAAAAGCTGTAGAAAGCGGCATAATTTTGAGATGAATAAAAAGTGGGCGACAATGATCTTTAAAGTTGGCATTAGATATTAGACGTATAACTCTTTTTTGCAATATACATTTTTTTTTGGAATGACAAGACTCCCCCCACAACACTATGCCATATACCATGTGACTATATGTGGAAATTATAAAATTTTGATTTTTAGCCTTTTCGGCCTTTTCGGTTTTCGACACATCTGTACGCCAGGTGTTTCTGAATATCTATTCTTCTGGGTTCGTCAGTGCTCCAAAGTTAGCCTGACTTTCTATGAATATATTGATCCGCTCACTTCGTTGGGGCTTCAAATTGATATTCCTTGCTCATTGCAAGACTGCAAGAACCTCAGCCTTGAAAACTGATGTGTACTGCCTGAGTAGGTTCCTTAAATAGAGATTCCTTCCAGCACAGTAAATTCCTTCTCGGTTGTCGACACATCTGTATGCCAGGTGTTTCTGAATATCTATTCTTTTGGGTTCGTCAGTGCTCCAAAGTTAGCCTGACTTTCTATGAATATATTGATCCGTTCACTTCGTTGGGGCTTCAAATTGATATTCCTTGCGCATTGCAAGACTGCAAGAACCTCAGCCTTGAAAACTGATGTGTACTGCCCGAGTAGGTTCCTCAAATGGAGATTCCTTCCAGCACAGTAAATTCCTTCTCGGTTGTCGACACATCTGTATGACAGGTGTTTCTGAATATCTATTCTTTTGGGTTCGTCAGTGCTCCAAAGTTAGCCTGACTTTCTATGAATAAATTGATCCGCTCACTTCGTTGGGGCTTCAAATTGATATTCCTTGCGCATTGCAAGACTGCAAGAACCTCAGCCTTGAAGACTGATGTGTACTGCCCGAGTAGGTTCCTCAAATGGAGATTTCTTCCAGCACAGTAAATTTCTTCATTCACTCTTCGCGTCCATGCATGTATTTCGGAATCATGTGGTCCAAGAACATATTTGATATTCGTTTGTCTACATATTCCGACATTTCTGTTCTGACCTATCCCATGCGTCTCACTGAGTTTTTCAGTCTAATTTGACCTACCCTCATTTCTCCTGACTGAAGAATGCCTCCGATGTAGTTGCAGAATATTCCCAAGTACAATTCTGTACCCAACGTTTGTTAACAGCGATCGTTTGTTTCATCTTTGGCCAGCAGACCATGGATACAAATGGGTTCAACCATCATGGTGTAGAACCATGGTGGTTAGTCATACATTATGTCTGGTTTCGGTCCCTATATCTTTCCTTAGGTGTGATGGCCAGCACTAGTGCTACCTCAGCCTTTCTTTCACTGTTCCTAGAAGTTGGTTCAAGTCAGCCTCCCATAAGTTTGACCTTTTCCGACAGATTTGTCTCTTCATCTCGGTTTTAGAGGTCCTAGGCAGTAGTTGACTTATATAAGAGAAGCATTCTTCAAGCCTCACGGATCTTGGATTATATTCAATATCAAACATTGAAACTGACAAAGCAAATTTGTTTTTATTTCAGATCATTGCAGGGCCACATCAAGATCGTTTGTGTTTTGCAGTTGCAGAAGAACTAGAAAAATGTTTTGGTGGATGAAAGTACAATTCTGTACCCAACGTTTGTTAACAGCGATCGTTTGTTTCATCTTTGGCCAGCAGACCATGGATACAAATGGGTTCAACCATCATGGTTTAGAACCATGGTGATTAAATCGTACATTATGTCTGGTTTCGGTCCCTATATCTTTCCGTAGGTGTGATTGCCAGCACTAATGCTACCTCAGCCTTTCTTTCACTGTTCCTAGAAGTTAGTTCAAGTCAGCCTCCCATAAGTTTGACCTTTTCCGACAGATTTGTCCCTTCATCTCGGTTTTAGAGGTCCTAGGCAGTAGTTGACTTAGATAAGAGAAGCATTCTTCAAGCCTCACGGATCTTGGATTATATTCAATACAAACATTGAAACTGACAATGCAAATTTGTTTTTATTTCAGATCATTGCAGGGCCACATCAAGATCGTTTGTGTTTTGCAGTTGCAGAAGAACTAGAAAAATGTTTTGGTGGATGGAGACCACCAAGATGAAGCAATGAAAATGGGGAAAAGCTATGGAGTATTTTATTCAATTATGGGCTTATTTTATTCTGATGTTACTGATAAATTCACAGTTTATTGCAGAAAGGAATCTGATTAATAATAAAAATGTTTATAAATAATATACAATGATTACTCGTATTTGCATTTGCATATTGGTATGGTATTTTGTTTAATGATTTCAGTATGGCCAACAATACATAAGTATATACATGAATACTGGCATAATGAAAACTATGATGGCAAAAGTTCTATGATTACAAAAACAATTATAAATATAGTTTAAGACACTCAATAAAGAATAAATGATAATTACATCAAACATCAGTATTATCATGTTTAGTGTTACAGATTTGAACAATAGACAATAACTATTTGTCTAACAAAGTTAGAAATAACAATTAATACGCAAGGAAAATATTATAGTTTCAGTCTGTACATATCAATGTACTGATTGTTGCAATTATTTCACAAAATTCCTCATCATGAGAGTTTTCCAATTCTCAGGAGTATTGGAAGTCAATTCATGGAGTTTCCAGTTTTTGTAGTTTGGATGCACAGTCCACGCTGACAGCAAAACTCTCAAAACCTCCTTCAACTTCTCTATTTATATCACATGGTTATATTTTGGAAAATGAAACAATGTTATATATAGCAAATAATTTCGTGGCTACATCAGAACAAATGACCTTACAGAATTTTCTTTCCTGGTCATCGCCAGATATTTCTTCGGCGCCAGCTTCCCAGGGTCACCCAAGGTGATCCTGACAAGATTACATCCTTTGGTTTCGTCCCATCTCTTTAAGGATTGAGCGTGGGTGTAACACTTGACTAGTTCCGCAATTGTCGAAGTTATCAGGCCGTGGGTGCCACTGGGTCCTAAAATTCTTGGTCCAGCCGCTTGCTTCGTTTAAAAGTCGGCGATTATCTTTACTCCTCTTGTGTCCTTTAACCCACCTCAGGATAATGTTATCATCTACCGCTAAATCTTGGTGACACTCTAGTACTAGCCCTGAGGTAACACGTTGTCTGTTCAAGGCTAATAGGGCTTGTCTGCTGTCAGTGCAGATTGTTATATTTTTGCCAGAAATTCCTTTTCTAGTTATTTCTTTTGTGGCGATTGAGATACCAGCCAGTTTTGTTTGGACCACGCTGGTATGTTTTCCCATTCCCCACTCAATCTTCAGGCTTAGTGATCTGGAGTACACTACACATCCTGAGCCTTCTTTGGTTTTTGAGCCGTCTGTATATAGGCGTATTGCATTTGTAGCATCTGACTTTGTGTTCTGTTTTATTTGTATTTTGTAGGGTTTATTAAACACAAATCTGGTTTCAATTGCATCACTGGTTGCCTGCAACAGAGGTTGTGCAGTAAGCGCAGAACAAAAATAAATAAAAATAAAGAAATGAAAAAAGAAAATAAAAAAATTAAAAAGTTGAGAGATTCCAAGTCACGTTAGTTCACGACGTTTCGATTGTTAGTATCTACAATCGTCTTCGGGTGATGACTGCGATAACTGATGCAATACACCACAAAACATTGTCAACCACCTTCAAACAATACATTCAAATATTTTAATTCCACTGTGCTCGCGACGGTCCTGTATATTATATTGCGAAATTAAGGTGAATTCATCCCAGATATCATCAAACTCCATCTCAAAACAGTTCAAAGACAACCGCTTAGCTGGTTAGACAAATTGACATTCGGTGAGTTATTTTTGCACATCGATTATTTTTTAAATAATTCCAATATTCTTTAGAACCTAGGAAACGTTAGCAATCAGAAAATTAAACTTCAGTGTTAATTGAAGTTTGATATTTGAAGGTTATCGACAAAAAAGATAAGTTCTCATCTGTTTTGGATATTGTAATGTGTCAACCGTTCACCTTTATCCTAAAATGAATTTTGAGAACGGCAAAGGTTTTCCATTCTTCAGATTTAGCCTCACTTTTGGTATGTCCTCAGCGAATCGGTTTTTATCTGCTCAATCGTTGCAAAACACCCTCCTACCATGTGTCTTTTAAATCTTGAGAAAAAGAAAAAGTCGCAGAGGGTCAAATATGGTCAAAACGGTGGCTGAGGCATGTTGTTTTTGGGCAAAAAATAACGAACAAATAATGACGAGTGAGCAGGTGAATTATCATGATGCAAAAGCCCTGAATGGTTTTTCCATAATACTAGTATTTTCTTTGTTTTGCTTTTCGCAAGCGGAGCATGACTACAAGATACAACAAATCTCTGTCCAATGAAAGTTTTCCAGATGATTTCAGTACTTCCATTGTCATAATTCTTCACAAAAAAGTGAAATAGAAATGAATAAATTTAGAGGCGTCTTTTTATCACCTTCTTTTTCGAAGCTTCTAGAATGAATTGCTGATCAGAAGCTGAGAAAAAAATTGAAATTCCAACAGACGGAGTTGACACGTTACAATATGCAGTGAGTCTGCTCGAGTTCGAAAAAAAATTTTATTATCGATTTTACGAAAAAAAATATTGTTTATAAAAAGTTCCGCATGGTCTTAAACTCAAAAGGCATCGATCAAATATAAAATTTTTTCAGTCGTATAGGAAGCTCTTCAGAAAATATCAATTTTGTCCGGCAGTAACGTAAATTTATTTTTGAAAATATCGGACACTTTTATCTGTTATCTCTTTATTCGTTAAAAATTATATAACCTTCACGTCTCTTAACCTCTACGTTGAATCATTGAGATGATGTATCAAAATGAATGAAGCATAACAAAATAATTTATTCAACAATAATTATCAACTACATAAATACACAACTAATTATGTTGCTTGCATAACATGCGTATAATAGTTCATCATCAATTCACTATTATTTCAACGTATTCGCCTTCTCGTACAAGAATTGAATTGAATTGTTCCCGTAATAATTGTTTCCAAGTGTATCACGCTTGTGAGTAGCCTGTGTTGATTTACCTTTTATTTCAAGTAACCACAGAAAAAAAAATCTAATGAGGTTGAATCTGGCGACCTAGCTGGAGAAAATAACACATCGTATTATACGTTACGCTGGTATAGTTCAAGTAAACGTTATAGTGCAACATACCATCCAACAGTTCCCCTTTGATAATATAGTTAGGTAGGTAACTAATTTTGTTATTCAATAATCATTTCTGATTATTCTGTTTTATTTGTATTTTGTAGGGTTTATTAAACACAAATCTGGTTTCAATTGCATCACTGGTTGCCTGCAACAGAGGTTGTGCAGTAAGCGCATCTCGTCATTGGCTCAGCCTCAATTGACCCATTTCTACTTCGAGGTGTACACCAGCTGTGCGCAATCGTAACATGGTCATCAACGCAACCTCTTTAACGTACAGATCAAAAGGTGTCAGACCCGTGATTAATTCCATTGCCGCAGTTGGTGTTGTTCTTATGGCTCCTGTGATGTTTAAACAAGCAATTTGCTGTATTTGGTTTGATTTTTGGATGGAGGTTGCTTGCAGAACTTTCGATCCCCATGCAATGGCTCCATACGTTAACATAGGTCTTATTATTGCTGTGTAGATCCAGGTGACCACACGGGGTGAAACACCCCATGCGCGTCCCACTGTCCTCCGACATTGCTCATAAGCCACGTATGCTCTTTTTGATCTACTCTGTAGATGAGAGTTCCATGTCAGCTTCCTGTCGAGGACAGTACCGAGGTATTTTACCTCTTCAGAGAAGTTTAGTTTGCTTTTGAAGATTTCGGGAGGGTTTAAGCCCGTTAAATTTTTTTTCTGGTGAAAAGGACCATCTAGGGTTTATAAATAAACAGTGGTCCGTTGCCAGTTCAACAAATCTATTTATATCTGCATTGACAATGTCACAAGCATTGTCTGACATTTTCGCCGGAAAGCTGTGATATATCTGAGTATTATCAGCATATAAATGCACCTGATAAGTGTGAAGAGCCCGTAGTGAGTGAGAAGTATATACACTGAACAATAACGGGCCGAGTATGGATCCTCGAGGTACCCCTGATTTGACATATTAGATATCTGCGCTATATTTCTCTATACTAACCAGTTTCTGTCTATCTTTCAAATAGTTCATCAATAATGCCAAAGCGTTGGCAGAGAAATCAGTGGGTTCAATCCAAAATACCTAAAAAAGATTATGATCAATAGTATCGAATGCCCGGCTGTTTTCGTCTATTGCTTTCATTACGACATCCACAATATGTAGAAGAGCGAGTGCACATATATAATTAGTAAGTGTAATTTGTTGAATCTAGTTGTCGTGAGGTAGTTGTTATGAACCAATAGTACATTCAAATGTTTTTCCTCAGTTCAGACTCTCATTGTCTAATTCAATATAAATTGATTTGAAATCCCTGAAAGAATCTGTAAAAAATTAAAAAGATTAACCGAAAAATAACAATTGTATTGAACAAAAAACTGAAATTACAAAGAAAAAAATACAAGCAACAACCAAAAAAATAAAAAAATTGAACTATCAATACAAGCTGAAAATTTAAAATTAAAAATATCATCAACAAGAAATGAAAATTAAAAATTAAACGATTCCAACCCAAGTTATATCACGACCTTTTGATTGTTGAATTTCACTAGTTCGGACTTCCATTGTCTACTATATAAAATGATTTGAAATCCCTGAAACAACTAAAAAGAATAATTAAAAATGAATAGCTGAAAATAACAATTATATTAAGCAAAATAAACCTGAAATAAAATAATAGTGAAATAAACTACAAGTAAAAATATAACAATTGAATAAATAAAAACAAAGGAATGAAAAAAGGAA